GTCTCTCCAGTGGCGATGTTTACATACCGCACCAGGTACTCAATTGAGGCCGAGTCGACCTAGGGGAGAACCAGGACCGGTTCAGATAATCGTCACTGGTGTTGGCCGTGAGCGGGAATCGAACCCAGGTCGGCAGGTTCATAGCGCAGCGCGCTAACCGCTACACTACCGCTCCCCACACGCACACAAACACATATGGACTCACACACACAGACATGAACTTTAGGCACACACATGTAGTTTCTGCACACGAACATTATAATTGTAATATTAGGCAACTTATTAGTTTCAAAATAGTAAAGAATGAAGCAGAGTTGTTATGTGCACACAAACATTATCATTGTAATATTTGTAAACTTATTTGTTTAATAATAGTAAACAATAAACGTGAGTTCTTAGCGAAAGATGCAATAAAATTGTACTTTACATTGGCGTGGTGAAGCCTCGTCCTGTGCAGAGCCCGCGGCCTCGCCTAGATTGGCAAGCCGGAGGAGGTGAGACATTGGCAGGCTGCGGGCTGGGCCGTTACCCCCCCCCCCATCATCCCGCCGCCCTCGCCAGAATAATACTATGTAAGCGCTTTAATACTATTAAATCAATATCTAAGGACTTTATAGCAGTAACTGCACGCATTGGGGTGGGGGGAAGAGGACATGACACTGTGAAGAGAAATCGGCAGCGTGATATGTATATTTATTTTATGTTAAACGCGTAAAATAAAATGTCTCCCGTGAGCTGGAGCGAACGCGCATCACTTGGCAGGGTCCGCCCGCCCCCCCCAGGCAATTGTCTTGAGTTGTTACGGTCAATGTTGCGCAATAAGTAAATAATTAAAATAAGAATGCCACGAATTAGTTAATTAAACGACTTTAAAGTTTACGGACGTGAAAACAGAATAGCCTATTCCCACCACGGGGCTTAGGGCGTGCGGCTGACAAATTATTTCGTTCTTAAACCCCACCATCCGAGAGCCAAATCCCTCGCAAGCGCGCGTGGAGACTTTTATATATAAGGAGAAAAAAAGAGAAAGATCAACATATATTTCATTTTATTATTTTTAAGATGACAAATATGGGGTCCGAATGTCGGTTTTGAATAAATTAGTCAACCCAAGTATATGAAGCACTCAATTATGTTGTTTATGATATCAGTAATAGGTGAAGATAATGAAACTGGATTTTGTTTAAGGAAAATACCATGATTTTCACTTTTTCAGCATTTAGGAGCAATTTTAGTGTTGATAATAATTGATGTTGAATTAAATAAAAATCGTTGGAGATTTTGTTTGACTTCGCTAGGAGATTTACCTGATACTAGCATGAGCGTCATCAGCTCAGTCCAGTTTGTTAGATATTTCCCATGCGCACAATGAACCGTGAAAAAGTTATTGAACTCGTGCTTATTCAGCCCCTGCTGAACAAGATGCCCACGAAATGCTGCCAGTTTGGGTTGCAAGAAGCAAAGCTGCATCTGCTTTCTCGCTCCGGCATCATTTCCCGAACATCCGAGTAGCACGGTTGGCTACATATCGTGCGAATGAAGTTCAAAATACATACCTCATGTCAAGCAGAAAAAAATTTCACCCACCTCCACTTTGGGCTTTCAATGACCTCATCCCATTACCTCTTTCCATGTTGACTGCATATTTTTTGGGGGGTGCTCTTGAGTAACCTGGTTCTGCACAACAGCCACATGACTAACGGCTGCCTGATGCAGGCCTGCTAAGTGTGAAATACAGGTTTGTTTACATTTATTGTATTTCAAAATACGTTGCAATTGCCATCGATCTACAGCGCCTCGTATCTTTATTTCTAATGTCCAACACACGTTTAACCGGCTGAAGAAAATGTATTTCCAATGCTTGTCCATGAGCATATTTATTTAATTTTTAAACATTCAACAACAGTGAGATCGATTCATTTCAAAGGCACTTTTAAATAATTGTTCAATCGTTATTCTACCAATACATGCAAGCATACGTAAGCGACATCAGACGTTTAAAATGGGGAGATTCTTTAACACCGAAATGATCAATTTAAGCTGATATAGGTGTATGGTGCTGCTTCTAGGTTACCTCGGCCTAAAATAATTACCCAACATTGTGTCCAGATGAGCATGCAAAAGATGGTAAACCCTAATGTGACCATACTGATCAACGTCTATAATGTCTGCGACAAGTACATCACATTTTCTCAACATAGAAATTCGCAATTCATCCATATTTGTAGTACGAGTAACTCTCGATTCCCTGTAGCAGTAAAAACACGCCAAAGTCTAGGTGGTGTTCTCACCACTCGTCTACACAGCTAAACTATAGCTGCATAGAATGTTAAAACAGCCTAATATTCATTGTTCAGTTTTATAAAGATCTGTGTCAGCAAATATTTTTTACGAATTTATTTGCAATCTACAAATACAGTAATATATCTAAAAAAGCTTTACGATATACGATGAAAACTTAATAATTATCCGACAAATATGAATTGTATTTTTCCAATGAAAATTACAAGTATAATCTTTGGTTCTTTCGGTAAAGTCACGTAGAAAATCAAATAATAATAGAATACGACGTTTTTGTTGCAACACAAGCAACCGTCATCAGGTAAGAATTAATGATAAAACACAGACACGGAAACAACAAAGGCAGAGAGAGACACACACAAAGACACACCAAGACAAACAGAAGGACAACGACTCTGTGCCGAGGCCGTAAATAGAGAGACGGGGGGACGGGCCGCGGCAGAGAGAGGACTGCGGAGGCGGACAAACGAGTGGAGCAGTGTGGAATGCCAGACCACAGTGGCCGGAGGAGAGACAATGGTTTAGAGCAAGAAAATCGAAAGTTTGATAAAACAATTTTAGTAAAATTAAGAAGTGTAATGCAATGCAACACAGAGGCTTGGATTAACGCACAGTTAACGCATAGCCTTGTTGATTAACGTTCTCCCAAAGATTGCTAAATTAGAAGTAAAGTGTGAGTTGTGAGTAGACCCTCCCCGTAGCATGTGTGTCTACCTATGTTGTTGCTGTGTTTGTGTATGTCTCTCTCTGCATGTTGTTTGGCTGTGTTGTTTCCGTGTCTGTGTTTTATCATTCACTAGATGTACTACCCGGCTTCGCCCGGGTCTTGGATCCACGACGCTAGGCCGCCTTTGTCTCCCCAGTGGCGATGTTCATACGCCACAGCAGTTACTCGTTTTGAGGCTGAGTCGACCTAGGGGAGGCCCAGGACCGGTTCAAATAATCGTGACCGGTGGTGGCCGTGAGTGGGAATGGAACTCGGGTCGCCGGGTTCGTAGCGTGGCGCGCTAACCACGACACTACAATGCTGAATGGCCGTGTTGGGTGGTGGAGGGTTACAACACATTAATAAATAAGGCGATCGAAAGGCAATAACGTTGTTTATGATTAATGGTCGCGAAAGGCCACGTGTTACAAATTGACAAACTTTACTTAATAAGCAGGCTACAGTGTACATGATAGACTGCCAGTACACCCACCCAGCTGAATAAGCAGGCTGCAGTCTACATAATAGACGGGCAGTACGCTAAACCAGCTTAATGACTATTTGTACAAAGAACATTTAAAGAATCGATTATAATAACCAGGCTACAGTCTACATTATAGACTGCCAGTACACCCACTCAGCTTAATAAGCAGGCTACAGTCTACATAATAGACTGCCAGTAGACTCAGGCAATTTAATAAGCAGGCTACAGTATACATTATAGACTGTCAGTACGCTCACCCAGCTTAATGAGTATTTGTACAGTCACCATTTAAAGAATAGATTATTGGCGCGTAGGGTTTGAAAGTAATACAAATTGCACACATTGTGTTGGGGGGGGAGTGAAGAGTACGTGAAACTTTGATGAATTTACCTCAGACTCGCGTGGTGGGTGTCGAGGCCTAGTAGCGTGCAGAGCCTCCGGCCTCGCCTAAATTTCCCACCCGGCAGAGGCAGGGTACGGGTGGCGTTCCCCCCCCCCCCGCGCTACAATAATAGTGTCTAATCGCTATTATTTAATTATCTACGGAGCCTATAACAGTAATAGAACACATTGGGGTGGGAGGGGACTGAAGAGGACGTGAAACTGTGATGAATTAACGTCAGAGTCGCGTGTTAATGCGTGCGCCTATTTTTAACGGGAATTAAAAATGGCGAATGCGTCGCTAGCCGTTGCCAGGGGCAACCGCCGGACCAATCGTGTGTCGCAATGCAGGGGAAACCGCCGGACCAATCGTGTGTCGCAATGCAGGGGCAACCGCCGGACCAATCGTGTGTCGCAAATCCCTGACATTTCGTCCAATGAAAGTGCGTATGGTCCGGCGACACACAGACACACAGACAGACAGACAGATTCACGATTTTATATATATAGATTCTTACCCGATGATGGTTGCTTGTATTGCAACCGAAACGTCGTATTTTATTATTATTTGATTTTATTTTCTACGTGACTTTACCGAAAGAAACCAAAAGTAATTCTTGCAGTCACTAAAGCTTAGACTCTAGTTACAATAATATCAGTTTAAGTGTGAAATTCCTGCAGTCACGAAAGCTCCATAATTAAGATTGTTATTGAGCTTATGGCTGGACTCTTAAAATTGGGTTTAACTTATGGACGAAACTTTCAAAAACCTTGGGAATAGTCTTCTTATAAGGAATGTATGTTTACAGGACGTCATTATTCCTTTCCTTAGCTCTTTAGTGCGAAAAAAATATATCAATGCATTTGCCATGGGTATAGCAAGGATGCCGAACTGGAAAAAGCACCTTACGTTTCGGACTATGGGAGTTTTGAGATCTTGAATGTATCGAGCAATTAATGTGGAACCCAAGGTAGAGATGAAAAATATCAAGAGCGCCAAGAAGTGTGTCAGCAAAGTGTTCAAACCATGCTTGGTAATCTCAGCTGATCGTTTAATTCGACACTCAATGAAAATCTTGAAGTAGCTGTAGCTAATAAAAATAAGCGGTAAGAAAAACAACAACACCGTTAGCGCCGTCCCATATGCATTGCTAACCTTGATGTCTGATTCAGCCAATGCAATGACGCCCATGTGATCACAAAATATCCCTGGATTTTCCGATTGTCATCGCTGAAGTTTAGCGGCGTGACGAGCAGCGCGAGTGCCATGCAGGCCGGCGAGGCAATCACCCAAATCAGCACCAAGACTCCGAGCGTCTTCTTGGCTGTGACGATGGTGTGATAGCGCAGCGGGTGACAGATGGCCACGTAACGGTCAAAAGCCATGAGCGATAGCGTCAGCGACTCGAAATTGGCGAACACGTGAACGCAAAACATCTGCACGAGGCAAGACTCGTACAGGATTTTGGTGTCGCCCGTCAGCAGGATTTGCAGCTGCTTGGGCACGGAGCTCGTGCAGCCGATGATGTCGACCAACGCCATGTTTCCCAGGAAAAAGTACATGGGCTTGTGCAGCTCCGGGCACATGAGCACCGCCACGAAGACCAGCAGGTTGGCTACAACTGTGATCACATAGAGCAGCAGGCAGAGGCCAAAGATGACCATTTGCATCGAGTAGGAGGCTTCGAACGTGGAGAGGTAGAATGCCGAGCTGCCGTTCTCCATTGCCGACGCCGAACGACAACTGGTGATAGAATTATATTCACATAAAATATTTATATTAGAAAGCGCAGATGGCAGGGATGTTTAAAATAAATGCTATGGTTTTTTACAATACTTTCAGGTTGCGTATATGTTGGGGTAAAGTGTGGATACTCCTGCTTGGTTAGTTTGGAAGAGTAGGCCAAATGCCCTCTAGAGTTAAAAGACAACACGGTATATTAGCCTTGTTCACGTAATGAAGACAAATTGGAATCAAAACGATTAAATAAAGTGGGGGACAAGAGCAAGCAAAGGTTTGGAGTGCTCACGGAAAAATAAATAATTTCTGAAAAGCAACGTAGCTAGACATGGAT